CAGGTGTTATCTTATCAGATACTAACCATCCGCTTCATTCATATCTTCCTCCTTGTATATCTTCTGGTAGAACGAGACGTAAATACATTAAAATCCATGCACGCAAGCAAATCTATAAAAGTTCTGTAATACCTTACCTTGCAAATTTACTTGCAAATTTACTGTGACGAACAGGCTGTTAGTGTTGACCTAGTAAATAACCTGTCTTCTTAAGCATGTCTCAAATTTGTATAAACTCAGATTTTCCTAAACCTTTTTTTTAGTTTGTTTTTGTTCTGTTTTTTTTGTTTGTGTTTTTTGTTTTTTTGGTAAAAAAAAAACTTGTTGAAATAACTCGTGCTGAGAATTCTATATTGTACCAGATTATAATATTGAATAAAGCCATTAATATTAATAATAATAATTCAACAAAAGTGGAGTGTTAAAAGCTCTCATCAACAGAACGCCAACCACTCGACAATAAATCCACAACATAATAAGTATGACCCATCTTTCGTGTCATTTAATTAGCAGCACGGACTAACATTCTGAAACTGTGGAATGCTTGAATGCATGAATGACAACATTTGACATTGTAAATAAGGAAAGCTGTAATGACTTGAGAGGTTTAAATGTGTCAGAATTCCATTACTAATTTTCCTACCCCATGTATTGTATCTCAAGCAGCAAACAAATATCTCAATCAGTCACTAACCTATTTACACGATTTATGAGGTCGAATCATCTGCCAAATATGGAATCAAACTTCAAACACATCCATGACACATATAACTTAGAGCGGGACGAACAAGCAGTAATTATGGAATAATAAAGCATATTACAATAGTTTTTGGGTCTATTAGATGTCAGCAATAAGGAGAATAAATTAATACAATGCTACTGGTTACGGAAAAACATAAATAACATATCAAAAAGTAGTTCTAATACAAGTCCCTTTATGACAAAAACCACCAAGACTAGACTGTCTTCTCCCAAATCACTAGCTTACAACCGAAAACGTTGGTGTTTAAACTAATATGGATAGCAGTGATCATGTTATTACCATGGTTGACATAGTCACTGGTGAGATACCTCCACGGAATGGAAAACCTTCTGCTCCTGTCAAAGAAGAGTAAATAGTGCTGCTATAAGGCTGTACTATCGGAATTTCCTGGACGCGCAAACTGTAGAATCTACTAATTTATGTAAGCAGTATAAGTAGTCATTGATATACCTCCATAAAACGGAATAACCTAGTCAAGAGAGGATCATGGGTACCGACCGTCTATTTCATTCCAAAAGGAGCCTAGGATAAGTGAAGAACATCACTATGGTAAGCAAACTCCCGTGTTTTCCTGACTTTCAAGAGTAGTGAATAATACGACACCTATAGGGACAGTAGAATGGGAATGGACACTCACAAAACGATTCTTGAAACGGACTAATTCCTGGACTCTGAAAAGTTGATGGCAATGTAAAAGTCAGTGAAGACCATCTTAAGAAGAACGCAGAGGCTACATGACTCGTCTGTACAAAGGAACTCCTACCATACTACTTTGATAATAGACCTGATTCGTAAACGGTAAATTTGTCATACGATTGCCTAATCTATAAGATCATACGTGAAATTCGCATCACAGTCTACACTGACTCATTGCATCGTGACAATCGACAATGGTACTTAGTACTTCCGAAGAACACATTTATCTTGGGATGGAATAATATATTTTGCGTGAACAGTAATAAGTTACACATAATTAGCACGTATGAAAGACTGAGTATGATAATTAGAAGTATTTGAATTGTAGTATGAACTAGTAATTCCAGGAATAACGCAATTTAATCAAGAAGTATCAGATGAGCCCGAACGAATGTATTGTATTTGGAATTCAAAATTACAACAGTCATCAATACTAAGAAGTCATTGATTTATTTAAACATCACATCCGCCACAGCTCGAATTGAAGTGTAAGTGTCTGTAATCGATTGTTTGTCTTCTTCTTAAGTTCATCCTACATCTGTCCGATGGTGTATTGAATGTACACTCTGTATTATCTAGAATGCACTCATTAGTATTAGAATTAACAACGGATATTGGAACAGACTCACCTGGGTTCTAGAATTGTATACAATCAGCATGTCGGTTGTGTAGTGAAACCATTGATATTTAGAATTTGCATCATGGACTTTCCAACAATATCCTCCCCCACGAAATAATGTTGGGTCCTTGATTCGCAATGTTTTAGCCAATATGACGTTCCCAATTTGCATTATCTCAAATCTTACGCACCGACTACTGTATGTGAGTATTTGGGAATAAACACTGATATATAATTTGAGGTATTCCATTATGTGACTTTGACTTGAATAAAAATCATGATACATATTCTTTTTGTTATTCATATTAGAATACACAGATGGATATACATTGATATATGTAATTAACACACGTGATTCAATCAGGCTTGATTTACCTGCGAAACAATCGGATAGAAATCATTCATCTGCCTCATATCATTAGGATAATCTTGGACTTGATTTGGATTCTCTGTCTGTGCAAACTTCACTTCTGGGCAAACTGGTTCTCTGGTTGCTTCGGAAAATTTTGCTATCCCCTCTGTATCATTATACCCCTGACTAGGGATTCTATTCAACATGCATTGTTCGTGAGAGTATCCAACATATGACGCAATAACATCAGAAATATGACTAGAATTCAACTCATAAGAAACATATTTTTCACATTCATGAGGAATATCATTAGAGATAAATTCATTGTGAGGACCACTGACACTTGATATGATATCAGAATTTGATTTCTCTGAAATATTTTCCTCAAATGGATTAAGAGTTTCATTAAAGAATAATGAATCAACAGGGAATTCAGCATCTACCAAGACTGAATCTGGTTTTTGATCATAATTTGACTCATTTAACATTCTATTCTCAGAGTTGTAAGAAATTCCATCAGAAGTATGTGAATTATTACGACAAACCATATCTGGCACAATAACATGAGAAATCTGATAAGTTGATTGGTTGAGAATTTTCGCCTCCCAATGACTCTGGGTTTCATTCAACTCTGGACTGTTATATAACGTTATACCTCTTCTAGATAAAGATAACTGATCATTAGAAGCATCCATCTTAGCATTACTTTCAGCGAAATGAACCATGGTATTACAAACTGACTGAATATGTCCAGTTATACCACATTTAAAGCATTTAGAATTACGAAATATACATGAATTACATGGGTGAAACTTGCCGCAGAACATGCATTTACTAAACTTGTGCTCATCATCATGGACTGTTTCACAACTCAATGAAGTATTATCTGAATAAATTTGATTACGCATCGAACTACGACGACTGTTTGAATAAGTGGAATTCCTGATGTTCTGACGAGTCATTTTATCGGATTTTCCTTTCTTACCGCATTCGGAATTTGTATACTTTACATGATCCAACAGAAGTTGCTTGAGAGTTGCATAGGGGAGTGAAATCGGTTTGTCTGGAAGTGCCAAAATCTTTATAAGGCTGTATGCTTCATTCCCGATGAATGTAAGGAAATGGGCCACAATATTAAAATCATCATCATCTTCCTTGGTCATAGCCCAGATTTCGAACCTTTCCATGTACTCCTCAAAAGCATTAAAATCTGAATTTATATTTAACCGTTCCATCACAGGCTCAGTCGCGACGCCAATATGATAATTAGAAGTATTTGAATTGTAGTATGAACTAGTAATTCCAGGAATAACGCAATTTAATCAAGAAGTATCAGATGAGCCCGAACGAATGTATTGTATTTGGAATTCAAAATTACAACAGTCATCAATACTAAGAAGTCATTGATTTATTTAAACATCACACTGAGCCATGCCAACCGACTGAATGAATGTCTCCACGTCCGCCACTGCGGACCTTCTCCAAGTGTTACATGTAGAATATACATGCTTGGCTTCAAAGACCATGTGGTTAGGAAACAATGCTACTACAAGTATTCACCCAAATACATAGTCACAGTGAAGAAAAATATGTATACAACTCAAAATTCTAGCGAAATGTCTAAACTGGTGCAGTATTACAGGTTTTCGTAACGAAACGCTCACCCGTTATGATTATCTGTATATCTCCCCATGAAACTACGAAGACGAGAACAAAAATTGGACAAACGTTTGTTGGTGCATTATTACTGCTGGTACAGAAATAGCAACACTTGGTGCAGAAAAGTCAGTTTACAAGTTGGATATATAGTTAAGTTAAAAATGCTACTACAAGGAACTTCTTATAGTAAACAGTTCCTGTAACGTCTCCGAACTTTGTCGTATTCCAATCCATATTTTCTGTCTTAAAGAACACTGCACAAAGACAAGCGTTAGAGAGACTACAGTCTTGCCTGCTTCTTGGCGATTCCTAAGTAAAAATTGACTTCGTTGGATCTGCACATGTTGTATGCTTACTATGGGTATACTGAAATTGTTGTTATTATGGAAGGTTTGTTATCTATCTTCCATCGACTGCAATGTATACAAATATGATGGACTATGAAGTTCATATTTCGCGATTGATCGAGCTAACGTGCAAGAGTTCGTCTTCTTATGTATGTCAGTAGCATATGACGGCAAGGACACCAACATATCACTATTTATCAACGATCCAGGTTACATCTGCTCGCACTTCTTTTTGCCTCTAGAAAAACATAACAGGACGCCCTCCATCAAAATCATCCCCATAATTTACCCAAATCGGACAAAATTTTCCCAAAAATGAGGAGATTGAGAAGTTACGAAGTAACAATCAGTTCAACGTGTGCACTACAAGACACAGAGAGAGAGCTAAATCAATGTTCTTCTCAACGATTTTGTGGATTTGCTGCAGCAATATACCACTTAAATACGAGAAAACCTGATATTCGTGCAACTCAACGGACAACCAACATACCCTCAGCAATTGAAATACGGAATGACCAAGGCTTGTCAGGCCGTTCAAGGTCGTTGGATCAGAAAGGCGGGCGGCTTTGAAAGGATCTGAATTTTTTACTGTGCATGTTAGAATTTCAGTGCTAAGTATTTTTGTACTACAACTGTTTGAAATAATTGAAAGTGTTACAAAGTAAATATTAGGTGGCGATTAGTATGAGCAGTCAACTTGAAAGACTCCTGAGTTAAATTTGTTTCAGATTGGTTACGGAAGTAAGAAGAATATGTGACTCACTTCATTTTGATTGGTTGTCGGGTGCAAGGTTCAGATTGTGAATAAAAGTGGAGTTTATTCTCAGTCATTAATTTTATTTCGCAAAGTTTGCCCATGCAAACTTGTTCTAGAGCGCCGACTCGGGTTTTGAGCCTTACTCAAATAGGTTATGTTAGTTGGGTTGTTGAACGTTAGTCATTTGAGGTGGTATTATCAAGCTCCAAATCATACTGATTTTTCTGTGTAATAATTTGTAGACTATTCCCTTAAGTCAACAACACTTCAGTTCCTAAAAGTAACCATAAACTCGTTGTCCGACACCTAATTGGCGTTCGCCAAGGCTGCACACAATCCCCACTCTTGTCTACTTTTGTCATTAGTACTCTTTTCAAAATGACGTCTCCAGCCACCTTTTCAGTAGTTCAATCTCCTATCAGGTGATTCACTTAACTTAGAACACACAGATGACCCAATCTCCCTATTCTAGGGAAAATGTTATCCGTTTCGGGGAAGCCGTTGTAGAAAATTTTTGGGAATGGCACAAAACCCCCAAAATTTCCCCAGATTTGGGTAAATCCACAAAAGTTTATGGGAGACCATTGGAATTTGGGGATTTTCCCAAAATAGGGAGACTGGCGATATAGTTCTGCTTGGTGAAGACATAGTTGGTGCCTCCTTGTACCAATGTCTGTGTTTAAATAAATAGGTAAAATTCATTCAGTCCATAGCTACCTCTTGGTTTCAGAATTCAGTATCCCTTCATACATAACTTTCCTGTCTTGTCAAACAATATTCCCAATGCTTAATCTTCCCTTTTGTCACTTCTGCATTATATGTCTTTTTTTCATCTTCATCTCGTCGTGCTAATCATGTATGAGAACGTCGGGGGATTCAGGGTAAAAGATCTGGCACACATTTTGTATACTCGGCTTTGAGGCATATTATGTGAGGCTCAGGATGGTACTCCGCTATCCAATCAAAGAACGACTGGGGTTCAGAACTGTAATCTAGTGGTTTCTAGGACGGTGGTTTTATTCAACAGGTCGCTGCTGCTTATCTAGCATATTAGTACTACTTGTGGTATGAATCTTAGTATTGAGATGTTGTCATCAGCAGGCTCAAGCTTGTAGATAATTTTACATCCAGAGACCACAACTGATTCACAAAATAGTGTTTATAAGTAATATGCTTTCGATATCTCAAATGATTTCGCTTTCCGCTTTCATAGAAGTTTGTGGGTAGTAGGAATATGCATTTATGCTCAGTCTTCGAATCAGTTACCCATCTCAAATTACCCATACTGGAGCTTAGATTTAATCTATCATCAATCCATCCGGGTCTGGTAAATTTGATGACTAGTGTGTCAAATTATTACGCAGGGATTCGAGAAAGTATGTTACCCTGTCACACTTTGTATTTTACGGAGTGTCTTGTAAATTGATTAGGTTTTGAATAAACAGACCATGCACAAAATGCAGTCTTTTAGAGCTGTTGTTGGAAGTGTATGTGAAATTAACTTGTTCATGTATTTGCCAAAACCTCTAAGATAAAGTATTTTATCGTATTCTTCACTTTAGAAATGAAATTCGGCTCCAAAATACAATAATTTACACCTCTGGATACATGCAACGTTTATTTACCATGTTGACTTACCATCGTCTGATAAAAATTTCACGAAAAGATGCTAGTTCTGGATTATGGTTGGGATTTATTGTCCCTGCTTTATTACTTAAAACAGACAATAAAGCACTTGCCTACGAATTTTTTCTATCTGTAATCACTGTACTCTTCTTAACAAAGAATAATCATTTTAAACATGCTGTCATTCCTATATGTATATGGTTAAATTGTCAACATTTCCACCATGTTAGTACGCTGATTCGTTCTTTGTTCATAATTATATTTGTTTTATGTTTTTCTTACAGATTATTAAGTTTATTTCCTTTTTCATTTACTTTCGGTGAAACTGTGCTACTTGCTCATCTTTCTGCAGTATTTCTTTTTACTGAATGTAATTTTGCATTACCATTTCTAATCCTTTTTCTAATTGAACGATATTCTATTCGATTCTCATTGAAAATTGCTTTTTCCGTGTTAATAACACTTACTATATTGACTGGATATCTTTGGATTTATGCTTGTCGTGTACAAATAGCTACTAGTTTCATTCTAAATCAAATTGAATGCTTTATTATATCAACTAATTTCATTTTATTGATGTTTTGGCTATGCTTATTTATGTTATGTGTTTACATTACTATCATTTATCGTTGTTCTAATCATAACATTTATCGAATCATGAATAGTAATACAGTGAAACCAGAATTTTGTGATAGTTCAATTGCATTATCTGATGAACCAAGCTTATCCGATCAAAGTGAATATCATGAATTATGTAGCGAAAATGAATTTATTAAAAACAATCATACAACATGTGATTTATTATATGATAACAAAGAAGAAATGTTTAAACTTCGTAAACTATTTCATTTTGCTGCTGGTATTGTATATTCATCTGGCTTACTCTATTCACCGCATCTTCTTTCATTGATGTCTGTTGCATTACTTATTGTATTTTGGTGTTTTGAATGGATTCGAAGACGAGGGGTAAGTTAATTAGATTACGTTGATTATATTCGTGATTACAAGTAGGTTTTGAAATCGATACTCACTGTAATCACAGTGGCTTATTTGTTAAGTTCAGTTTAGCGCTTGCCAAGCTGGATTGTTACCTATTTAGCATTAAAACTGAACAGCAGATGATAGTCGTAGAATCTACTCTTTGATGTAGTCATATCTAACAGATAGAGACCTGTGCAAAAGCCATTATGGCTCTAAACAGGGCATTCACTCAACCAAGGAAGATTGTCCGTCAGAGTATTCCTAGTGTGATCGTATTTGTTTCAGCATGTATTGTGCATAATAACACAGAACATTTCATGTAACACCGCCAGAAGGATGTATTACACAATTTAGAATGATGATACTTTGAAGTAATAAAATAATGACAGGTTATATAATCATTGAGTAAATAAACAAAAATATTATTGAATGGAAAACACTGCAGTTAAAAACAGCATTTTTTTTCTTGTAGCTAAAAACGACATCGTTGACTTCTATTTTAAACTTTTTTTTAAGCCATCAGGTTTAGTGGTTCTTGGAATTTCTTCAAAGGAGTAGTGATAAATCAACAGATGTTAGTCTTACAGAGCTATACCTCACCATTAAGTGTAGTACCATGAACTGACCACCTATACTTTTATCCTTGAATGTATGGCAGACCTTTTGTATGGGACCTAATTGGATTCTATAGCAGCTAACACATATATTATACACTAAGGATTATGTAGACGACACTATTTTCAGTTATCCAGTCATCAACCCGATTTTTATCATTTACGTATAATTTCTTTTTTGTCTTAGTTTATTAATGTGTCATTGTAATCTGGTTATTAAGGTACTTGGTTTTCAGTCAGTAAGTCAACAATTCGGACCTGGTGACATATACTTCATTATAGTCTACCGAGTAATATCACTTAACCGTACGAAAAACAGTATGAATCGATGCCAATTGCATAAACCTGTACTTATTAAGTGTAATACATTATAAGTTACTGTGGGCAACAAGCTCGTATAATTGTACATAATTTCAAACAAGTTTTCAATGTATACTTAAACTAGAAATTATTTTTAAATTTTCATTTCTATATTGTAGCCATCTACTCTTTCCTCCTACCTTAGTACTTTGGTTGATCCATTTCGTGATAAACGAGATTCTGGTGATATTTTATTCACACCTATTGCTCTTTTACTCGGTTTAAGTATTCCTGTTTGGTGGCCACAAAATAGAAATACTAATAGAAGTATGATTAGTATTGGTAAGTAAATTAAAGTTTATTTGTTTTATAGAACATTTTGCTTAAGAAATTATTTATTTGAACACAAGAATTGGTACAAGAGGGCACCAAATACATAAGCGCTACACGATAACAATGAGGCCAGTAGTAGCTATCATTGATTTGTGTGAGGGCTGTGATACTACCCGCGTGCCCGAACCAAAGCAAATGGTTTTGTTAGAGGGTCACACCTGGAGCATTCGACCTAAAGGTTTGATCCATGAGGCAGTGGAGCGACGTTAGGAGATGCAGTCCCATGGTAGCTGGTGACCAACAGTAGGTTCATACGCCATTTGTCCCCTCAGGATCCTGGAGCCCATTGTAGGATTTATTTTGTCCTACAGATATACTATTAAACTGTAAACGCGATACTGGCGATCCCAGAGTCTATGTGAAAGCTATAGTCAGAACAAGGACAACTTGGCTTTAAACTTTATCTGTTTCTGAACATAAAAACAATTAGATTAGTACAATAATAAAAGAATTACAGTCATTAAGTGAAACGCACAAACATACCGACCAGTATTGCGTGTCTTAATAAAATGAATAAAATTCATGAGTCACACTAATATAATAGGATAATAATGTCTTTCAATTGGTAGGTCACATGCAACAGGGATAGTTTACAGACATATCAGATCAGATTGACGTGGTGGGAGCTTAAGCAACGATTTGATTGGTTAGTTATGGACATAACTAACATTCCCCCCCAAGCGGACACCACGTCCAGGCTTCATTACTGTCGCGTCTATATAATCGGCTTCTCCAAAGAGACAGATTCCGTATATCCCGGCTGATCTCTTCAGTCGAACTGTTCTGACTCGTCCATTTGGACCATAATTGACCCGTCTAACTATAGCTTTCGGCCACAGATTCCTCGGTGAGCCAATATTGTTTACTAACACTAAATCTCCTGGTTGTAAATTCATTTTCATGTCCAACCACTTAGATCTCGCCTGAAGGGTTGGTAGGTACTCCCGTAACCATCTGTTCCAGAATAGGTTGGCTAGTTTTTGAGCTTCCTTCCATCTCTCGTTATATAAGCACGTTTTAGTCATCTGCGCTTCGTCGAATGATACACCTCTGTAAACTAACAATAACTTATTTGGCGTAAGTATATCCAGGTCATCACAGTCGTTAACTAGCTTTACGAATGGTCGATTGTTCATTATCCCTTTAATCTCTATTAAAAACATCTCCAAAGACTCGTCCGTCAATACCTTTTGAAACAGTAGTGATTGTAGAATTCTTCTTATCGACTTTATAATGCGTCCCCATACACTGCCTCGATGACTAGCTCTAGGAAGTTTAAAACGCCATTCACAACCTCTTTCTAAAAGAGCATTTGCTATCTTATTCTGGTTCCAACTACACATAATCTGTCTACGATTAGCATTGGCTTTTTTAAATTTATCAGAACCATCCTTACTCTTATTCACAACTCGCACAACGGCGTCTTTCCCAACACCATGTACAATACCACGGCGAATATGTGCTGTCTGCTTCTTCACAGTCTTATTCACTGACTTCTTTGTTAAAGTGACCTTTGGCTTTTTCGGTGTCTTCATTTTCGGCTTGGTAACCTTCTTTTTCTTAGGCTTTCTTAGAGTTGTTTTGGGATTATGATCACATGGTGCTTTTATTTTTGGCTTAGCAACCCTGGACTTGGCTAATAAAAAGGAACGATGAACTTGACGCGAGACATCTTTAAAACGAGCATACGCCACAACACCATATGCGAATTCTGTGGCGTCGAAAAAGCGATAAATCTGAGTAGGTAGTGGTTTGTATAATCCTAGTACGAGACATCTGGGAAGCAACAGTTTACTTAAGCGCTTCATACCTCTGAGCATACAGTTCCATCCTATAAAGCACTCCCTAGGAAGCTCTTCGTTGCATGGAAGATTTAGCCGACAAGCATCTTGCGAAATTAATTTATCTGGTAAAACAATTGGAGCTATAAACCCATCTGGGTCGAATATAGATGCTACATACGACAAAATGGTTTTCCTTGCAGGAGTCACATCCAACTTGCACATCCTGAAGATCTTATCCGTTCGAACATTCCACTCTTTTCCTAGAATCCTTTCATTTTCTTCCACAGATAAACAAATATCTACGTTCCTGTCTATATGGTCTCCCTCTGAAATAAATTTTATTAATTCAACATTGTTGCTGGCCCACGTGGTTAGATTAAAACTCCCTAAATGTAACATTTCCTTCAGCTGAGAATATACTAACTTAGGATCTTCTAACGTATGAACACTGGTTAATAAATCATCAACGTAGAACTTTTCCTTCGCTGTCTGTATAATGCATTCAGGAAATCTAGCCTCTTTACCTAGGATAGTCCTTTGTAGAGCAAACGTTGCGCAACTTGGCGATGAGATCGCTCCAGACAAATGTACTTTCACTTTACAGGTTTCTGGTCCATCTTTAGACGATAAATGATTTATGATACTCACATTGCTCGTGGTCTCGCTGTAAGGTCCAAACAACGTCCACCCTAAAGCAGTTTTTATAGCGTATGGTTCATTAGATTTTCCCATTCTCTTCTCTTTTATCTCGTGTACGCCCGGTGCGTTACATCCAATCAACAGTTTGACATTCTCGTCTTCTACTCTCGGAAAACTTGTGTCTTTTAAATGAGACCAAGATACCATTTGATGCACCGTTGTCACAGTCCTGTAGACCTCCGGTAGTTTTTTAACAGTCAACACTTTTAGCACCTTAACAGATGATGAAAAATCTATCGAGTGCAACTCTACATCGACCTCTTTGGATATCAATGACGATTCATTACTAAGAGTCTTTAAAGACACCATTTTCGGTTTTCCCTCGAGGCCTAACTCATCAGCCAGATCATCAACAATGAGAGAGGTATCTGATCCGCTATCTAAAAAGGCGCAAGTCTGAATAATCTTTTCACCATTTTTTATCCATACAGGCACTACTGCAAATGCTACTGGTCTCTGCATACGCTTAACACTTCCCTCCGTACAGAAATGAGTATTAATGCAAGCATCACTATCGCTATCTCTCTGTTCTCCCTGCTTCCTATGTAACAAGGTATGGTGTCTCCAACCACATCCTTTGACGGTACATGATCTTGGTGCTCGACAGTTTCTTGCTATATGGTTCGCCTTCAGACAGACATTACATAACTACTTCCTTAATACAAATTCTATTCTTTCACTAACATCCTTATCTCTAAACGTTTCGCATTGGTCCAAGGGGTGGTTTCCATTACATAACAAACATGATAACCCAAGAGTTCTTGGTCCTACGTGTGGGGAGACAACAGACTCACTCGTGTTAGCAAACGACACTCTGGCTTTGTACTCTGAATCAAAGGGCCTTTTTGTAACGGCAACTGATTGCCTTTGGTTGCGGTTAGAAATATCACCGCTGACTAGTAATCCATACCTAGTATTAGCAATGTCTGATTGCTCCTTCACAAATTCACAAAGGTCCTTGAACAAAGGCTCTCTACCTGTCTTAAGAATCCTAGATGCAACTTTAACCCATTCTCTCTGCAAATGCAGTGGGAGTTTTAAGAACATACACTCGATGGTCTTTGTAGAATTAAGATCGGATACATAGTTCATCTGCGTGAGTGTGAGCTCACAAACATGCATCTCACGAGACAGTCTTCTTAAACCATCTGGATCAGTCCCTTTAATAGCAGGGATATTCAGCATCTTATCAATAAATGCATGGGCCACGATATGCTTCTGACCAAATGCTTCCTCGAGAAGCTCTAACGCCTTTCGGTAGCCTTCTTCTGGCTCAAGCAATGCACAGTGAACAATGGTAGCCTTAGCTTCACCATCACAATACTGAATCAAATAGTTTAACCTAGATCGGAATCCAACTCTTTCGTCAAAACAGTCTTCGAAATTTCGTATGAAGCTCCAATAGTTCATGGGATTGCCATTAAACCTTATAATCTCTCTCTTTGGTAGGTCTAAAGCTCTAGATATCATTGTTATCCAATCCTTTCCAGGAGGAATATCAACTGCAGGTGAGGCAAATGTAGACTTGTACATCGCTTTGTCAGGCACAGCTTGATTATAATGTTCTCTTCCCTTCTGACGTAAGTGTTCTAACTCGATTTCTCTTTCTGTCTGAGCTAAGCGTATTTTAGCTAATTCTAACTCTAACAAGGGATCCATTCGACAGCTATTTCCTCCAAACTGGTCATCATTATGAGTTTCCGAATAGTGGGGAGACAATTCAGGAATCTGATCCGTTTTATGATTCTCCATCGACATTTAACAGTACTCAATGTGTGAATTTTTGATGAGATACTGGTCGAAACTATGTAGGATTTATTTTGTCCTACAGATATACTATTAAACTGTAAACGCGATACTGGCGATCCCAGAGTCTATGTGAAAGCTATAGTCAGAACAAGGACAACTTGGCTTTAAACTTTATCTGTTTCTGAACATAAAAACAATTAGATTAGTACAATAATAAAAGAATTACAGTCATTAAGTGAAACGCACAAACATACCGACCAGTATTGCGTGTCTTAATAAAATGAATAAAATTCATGAGTCACACTAATATAATAGGATAATAATGTCTTTCAATTGGTAGGTCACATGCAACAGGGATAGTTTACAGACATATCAGATCAGATTGACGTGGTGGGAGCTTAAGCAACGATTTGATTGGTTAGTTATGGACATAACTAACACCCATGTGCACCATTGGTTTGGAATGAGGGTTTTTCAACTTCCCTAGGTGGACCCTCCGTGTTCACTGACCCGGTTAAGGCACTGAACATTCGCTTTTTTTCCTCTCAATCTCGTAAACAACAGTAGTGCCGTGAGAAGGCAGTGAGTAGTACTTCCTTGGTAGTGGCTGTAAACGTGTGACCACGTAAGAGAATTTGGAGAGGGAATTTGAGGCTTTAAGAAAGACTGATATCTATCTGCAAAAGTGCAACAACAAAATATAGAGCACATCCGACTCTTTGAAAGTCACATTAAAACTCCTATTTTTAACAATATACAAGATCATAGCTGACACTAAGTTCAATCCTTGTTGGGTAAATTTAAACATTGACCCATCAAATGTCAAAAAATTAATTCTACTGATAGACGAAAGTAGTATTTAGCTAGTATTTTTGTAGGTTAGTGATGTATTTTAGTGGTGACTGATGCTTTTGTTTTTTGGATCACAATTCATTGTCCTTCATGGGCTTGTGGTTAAAAAACTATCCTAATCGTAAAGTGTCGATTTAGTTTACAAATTTTATAGATGTGTTTATGACAGAGAGGTAATAGTCTGTTCATCAGTGACTAAATCCATATGGATTCCAGAAGTTCTAGTGAAAAGTGGTTCCTGTAGGAATTGAACCATATCACTAATACGATTAGAGGCTGATGTTAACCGTAGTTTTCCATGTACTCGAAATGTATCGTATCTAACACTTGGTCAATTCTCCTTTCCTTCGACGAGCAGGTCCTGCATTTCGAAGCATATTTTTTATTAGAGATTTCATTTCAAACACTAACGTCTACTATGCTTGTATTTTTCATCCAGCATGTTGGGTCGGGCTACATTGGACCTTTCCAATAACAGTGGCAAATAAGTTTAAGAGAATTACACGATCATTATATCCGTATATAATGCGAATTGGCTGAATTCATAGGTGTAAATAAGTGATCTCAAAAAAGGTCATGTTCGTGCAGAAAGAAATTTGACAGTCTTGAGTTCAATTTTGTGTCCGGTGGTCATAAATGATGCTCTACTTCTTTCGAATTAAAAAATGGAATTTTTGTTCAATATTGTGATCTTCCATAGTTACTCAAGTTAATACATAGTTTGTGACAACAAACTAGGTACGGTCCTGGTACGGCTGAGAGTGGGGAGAGTCCGCTCTCCCTATCGAAATGCTCTCACATGGCCACGCAAATATATAGCCTCTGCCAGGGAAGTCCTACTCACTTCCTTCTCGTGGCGGGGGTGTTGTTTACGAAAGTGAGAGTATGGAAAGCGAATGTCCGGCGATTTAACCTGATCGGTGGACACGGAAAGTCCACCTAGGGGAGTTGGAAAACCCTGATTCCAAACCAGTGGTGTACATGGGCTCCAGTATCCTGAGTGAACAAATGGCGTATGAACCTATTGTTGGTCATCGGCTACCATGGGACTGTATCTCCTCAAGACGCTCCACTGCCTTGTAGATCAGACCTTTCGATCAAAGGCTCCAGGTGTGGCTCCTTAAGAAAACCAGATGCTCCAGTTTTGGCACCTGGGCAGTATCGAAGCCCTCACACAAATCAAATGAGATTTGTGTGGCGCATATATATCTGGTGACAACAAGAATAATCATATTCTTTGTGTTTATAATGTTAATATCTACTTTCATCATATAAATCGTTCACATCGTTGGCGTTTTCAGCAGATTTTTAAACGATTCAAAAAATATTCTGGGCTTAAATTTAACTCAATATGAATTATATCATAAAAAGATATTTAATAAGTCTTTGTTCTCCGTTCATGCATTAACACAGATTGATTGAAGATGGACGAATCCATTGTATTCCGGCTTGATTATTCAATCACCGAAACTGTTTTATGTTCACAGAACTGTTTAAAATTATCATTTAAATATAGATAAGGTAAATATTTGTAGTAAGATTTTTGTCATTGACTGAGCAACACTAGGATATAGTTAATATATGTACAGGTTTTTTTGTGGAGATTTAGTATTCCCATAGTTCAAAGCATGAGTCAGTTAAAGCTAGACCACCAAGGAAAACATGGAAGCACTAGACGGCCGTCTCATTCTATTGTGGCACTCCTCAGCAGTGCGCATCCACGACTCATGCTTTCAACTATGAAAATACTAAATCTCCATAAAAAAAACCCTCTGATTATAATCATATACTCACTAGTGACTGGCTTCAAGAGATAATTCCTGGAGTTCTAATGAGAAGCAGTAACCAGTGGAGTTAAAACCACATCTGTTGTGAGATAGGAACTCACTGAAGACTATTGGTGAACGGTTGCTCAACTTCGTGGATCAGTTGAAGTTAGACATAAACACCATTGGATGACAGCCCAGTGGTCTATCGGTTAAGTGCTCTGGCGCGAGACTGGTAGGTCCTGGGTTTTAATCTCTCGAGGCGAGGTCGTGGATGCGCATTGCTGAGGAGTCCCACATTAGGACAAAACGGCCGTTCAGTGCTTCTAGCTTTTCCATGGTGGTCTAGTTTCAATTAACTCATGCTTTCAACTATGAAAATATATGTACAATAAATAAGGGTATAATTTGACAAAATCGATACACGATGATCACTTTTTAAGTTGCCATGCTAATTACTAGTAAATATACAATTGAATTTCGAAGCGCATATATTAATTTACTAAAACTTTTTGATGGGTCCATGGTCTAAGGGGGGGGTATTTTGAAGTAATGTTTAACCTGCAAAATTACAATCCACAATCTTACCAATTACAGTCTGCTATGTGTACCGATTATTCTGCATCAAAACAATAAATTCACCGATTATTTTTAATAAATCAGAGGGGGTTTTGTGGAGAATTTAGTATTTTCATAATTGAAATCATTAGTCAATTGAGGCTAGACCACCGTGGAAAACCTGGAAGCACTAGGCGGCCGTTTCGTTTTGTTGTGGGACTCCTCAGCAGTGCGCATCCACGACCTCGCCCCACGAGATTGAACCCAGGACCTATCAGTCTCGCGCCAGAGCACTTAACCGATAGTCATGGATGCGCACTGCTGAGGAGTCCAATAGTGGGACGAAACGGCCGTCCAGTGCTTCTAGCTTTTCCATGATGGTCTAGCTTCAATTGACTCATGTTTTCAACTACGAAAATATTTTTAATAACACAAAAGAATACTTGATATTATTTCATTGTGTTATTATATATCATATCAAATATAGGTGCTAACATACGAAAAGTTAGTTCACAGATTGGGAAAATGCAATCTGAGAGGTCTTTTAGAAATATGCGTAAAAGCTACCAGGATCGAGAGAATTTAACTTATTTGTTAAGGAAATAGGGCTCTATATCAAAACTTTAGAAAATAGAGTTTGTAACCAAATTGAAATACGATACCTAAGCAATCTCAAGAATTTGACCATCACTCATTCTCAATATTGTCAGTCAGTCAGTTACAACGTAGAACCAGGCACATATATGCATCGGTCCAAGTTGCCATACCTCATTAGGACAAAAAGATGAACACCGTATTCATAGAAATAGTTAATTTGATGGTGGTAGTATATAAAAGTTAGGTTGTATATTAGGATATAGTATAGAAAGAAAGACAGATATGAAGCAATTCTAATCTTATTGTTTCAGGGAAGATAAAGATTGTATATACCTGCGCAATTGTGATCGATTCTGAGCCATGTCACCTAGAGTCTCCCAACATTGGATACTTAAGAATTTATCTTTTAGACATTTTGGTCGTTTTATAACATTCAAAGCACAGCTTAATTTCGTGATTGCTCCATTCTGTTTTAATATTAGGGAAACTAATCAGAATCTTCAGATGAAACTAATTAATCTGCCACTTGAGAACAGCTTAAATCAACACCATTGATAGAGAACAATCTTTACCATGATTTCCACACAAAGTATTCAGTTTTCTGTAAAATTACATATAACAATAAATATTATAATTTCTGAATTTTATAGCACGAATTAAGATGAGCGAAATGACTTTCAACTACGATGTGCCAGTGAAAAACTGTGCATATTTACACTCGTATCATTGATAAAGTGACATTAACGCTGATGACTGAGCAACTCTGTATAAGTTTCTTTGGTTGGTAATGCGTATCAGTACCTTATTTAAAAAATTTTCTTGTGACCTGGCCTAGAGCGTAGTAATTGTGTTTATAAAGCCATTCAGTTAATTTGATCAATTTTTTTTCAATTTGTAACCAGGCAACCTATGCTACGAATTGGATGTGAAGCCGTCATCATGGTCAGGCGTTCTGTCAGTAGCTATAGGCGATAGTTTTGCTGCATTGATTGGACGAGCTTACGGAAAGCGTCGTTGGCCTGGATCACATCGAACATTCTTAGGATCTTTCGCTTCTTTCTTTTCTCAAGTATGTGTATGTGGTAGTAATATGGGCATTCATTGATTTAATGTTGAGAAAATTGTGTTGAATGATCTGCTGAACTGTCGTTATTCTTTTCTCCTCACTAAAGAATTTAATGTATAACTCAGTAGGGACACCAAGTTAGTTTCGTGATAATCTTAGGAAAACATCTCATCGAAAAATATTTTGCGTTGTATTGGCAGATTGTTAAATTTTGATACCGTTATCTGTCAAGAAGTTTTTCCAAGTGCCATTGGAACAACTGGGAAAAGTGAGAGCCAATTCTTCCTATCAAAATTATTCACTGTAAATTTGTCATTTTAAATCTTCTGGAATCGGGCTCCAAACTATATTTTAAGGCTTTCAGTGTTTGGACCCTTTAGCATAGTAGCCTTTGCCAGGAAAGTTTTGTCCACCTATTTCTGACACTGCGGGTATTTCCTACAGTAAATCTTTTGAAAACTAAGTCTCTTAAAGCGACTGGATAGCCGCAATTTTGTAGACCTGAGGGTTTAATGGTTAGGGCGCTCAACTTCCAGTCATTAACTCTTCGGTTCACACCCTGTTCCACCTACTTCGGGTTAGGCGACTAGGTTGTAGTATCATTGTCCGTCATTCTTAGAATATGACTTATATCCGCCTGTAGCTTTTCTAGAGTTACTGCCGGTCCAAAGCCCGGGTAAAGGAGGAGGGTTGGGCATTGGGTCAGCAACCCAATCCCGTAGAAAAGAAAACGCTAACCAGATTAAACAAATCAAACCGTTTGTTGAATGAGTAAATTAAATTAAACTCTCAAGAGTTCATAATACCATCGAAATACTCTTTGGTTTCTCTTGTTGAATGTATACATGTTACAAGTATTGTTTGCATTACTAGTAAATTACTATATTAACCGAAGTCAGAGTTTTGATTTTACTCTCTCTGTGCAAGAAATCTGCTTTTAATAGAAGTCGTCGAGATCAACGGACTTGCTAAATGTCTAGAAACTTCATAACTTTCAGTTGTAGGAAATGCACAGAGTATTTCTTGTAATCAGAACTATAATAGAGTGCCATTTAGGATTAGTACTTCCCACTAGTGTATCCTAACTCCCTGCGCAATAAGTAATCAATAACTGTCGGGGGAGATGGAGAGTGGCTGTCATTGGAATTCGGAACTCGTTAGCTGGGTATATCTGTATTTCACAGTTGATTTTCACTCCGGGACTCGAGCTCAGTACTGTTCACTTCAAACGCCGTCGAGTTATCATCCACTTAGCTACTAAGTTCAGATAACCACTGGGTTGTGCAACAAGGTGAAGTTTAATTCATTTTTATTTGCTGTTTGAATCTTCCAACTGATGTTCAGGACTGTAATTGATCAATTCTGGGGTGCAGCTGACGAGTCCCAAATAAGACAAACGGGCCCCCTGAATTCCACTGCTAACTATTATCTGTCTGTGCTTATAGTACTTGTGACGTAATGGCAATATCAAGGTAATGCGTGCAGGATGTACATTTACCAATAAAAGGCTAATCAATTTCAGTCTCAAACATCAATGGGAAGATCCAAACAACCAATACAAATGAGTTCAACTGGTTTAATTTATGAAAGAATATTGGGTCCATATTTTCATTTTTCTTTCGTTAAAGTAGTGTCATCAGATTGTTCACAAATGTTTCTACCACACTAGAGATTTATCATCTAATTACTGTAATAATTTAGTTTTAAATGTTAAATCGTTGTTTCTTGCCATCAGTTTGTCGCCTAACTGAATTTCTAAATGTCCGCCATCTAATGAAGGGATGAAACTCGCTGTGCTAATTGACGTATGGTAACTTGGAACGATGTACACAGGTGTCTCGTTCTGCGTTGCGTTTAACTTACTGAGTAATTGATTGTAGTAAGGAATTCGTGGTTGACTGTCTTCTCTCTTGGAACTTAAGTATTGGATATAATTATGCGGAAAAAGTGATCTTTTTCTAATTTAGTGTATAAGGTGGTGGATCTATAATTTATGGAAGACCTTTGAGGGACGCTGAAGTGACCCTGATAGTGTCCACCTAATAACTAGGACCAAATGAGGGTTATAAACCAGTGTGAGGAATTAGACTTATGATTTACAGTTGATGGTTGGAGTTAGGAATTAGATTTAGAGTTTTCATCACGAACTGACATCAGCTATAGCGCTAAAACTCTATTTAGCTAAATAGTTGAGTGAATTTCGCGCCAAAATCCGACATTATTTCTTATACCTGATTGGTTCGTAAATAAATATTGGTACATAAATTGGTACAAAGGGGCACCAGATATACATGCGCCGCACAAATCTCATTTGATTTGTGTGAGGGCTGTGATACTGCCCAGGTGCCCAAACTGAAGCACCTGGTTTTCTTAGAGGGTCACACCCGGAGCCTTTGATCGAAAGGTCTGATCCACAAGGCAGTGGAGCATCGTGAGGAGATGCAGTCTCATGGTAGTCGGTGACCAACAATAGGTTCATACGCCATTTGTTCACTCAGGATACTGGAGCCAACCTATGTGCACCATTGGTTTGGAATCAGGGTTTCCCAACTCCCCTAGATGGACTTTTCGTGTTCACCGACCCGGTTAAAGCGCCGGACATTTGTTTTTCGTCCTCTCACTTTCGTAAACAACACCCCCGCCACGAGAAGGCAGTAAGTAAGACTTCCCTGGCAGAGGCTATATATTCGCGTGGCCATGTGAGAGCATTTCGATAGGGAGAGCAGACTGTCCCCACTCTCGGAATTACCAAGGCATTTGGGCGCATAAATGGAATGTCGCTGCCAGGATTCGAACCTGGGTTAGTGCGGCCACAACACAATATCCTAACCACTAGACCACAGCGACGATTTTTATGGAAACTGGAAAGTTTCCATAACAAGTACTTCGTAACAATTGAATTATATGATCAGATTGTTCAAATTACTCATTGCTTGAATACATCATCCATTTGATAAATTAACTCAACCTTTCTTGTGTTCTTACATCATATAGATTATTGTATGGACAATTCTATCATATTATTATTCATGGCATTGGTTAACCGGTGTTATTCCTTTATTAATCGGTGTACTTATTGAAGCATATATTGATCAAATTGATAATTTAGTTATACCATTAATTGTTATGCTCATGTTTCACAGTTTGTAACAATGATACTCTTTTAACTATGGATTGTATGTACTTGCTTAGATTCCTTTATTTTCTACCACATGTGGTGTATGTTTGTTTATTTGCTTGCTTGTGTACATAATCAATTGATGTTTGTTTTTAACTATTGATAAGGCCTAGTAATTGTTCGCTTATTTTGAACAATAAAATGTTGATGAAAGAAGTCATACATCACAATTTATTGACCATTCTTATTACTTGTAAGAAAATAGAATTGATGTTTGTCGATTATAAACAAATTCATTATAGTAGAGTGAATATGATGGATAATGTGAACATCTCGATATCTATGTGAGCAAATGATAGTAGATACACTAATAAGACACTTCCAGTCGTTTACTGCTGTAATCAAGTGTTTTTTTTGACAGTAATGGCCCATAGCAAGTTGATAGGGTCATTTCCTTGTTCAAACTTCATGTTTCCCTCCGTTAAAATTCAAGGGGGTTACATGTTCAAACCTTTAGTCTGTAGACTTGATGCGGTTGTTTTTGTCTCAATGGTTCATGGTTCTGCTTGCGTTTCTGCGGATAAAGATGGACTATTATATTAGTTGAGAGAAGTAGAAATGACTTATTGTAAGTAGATATTTGCTTAACTCCATTTCCACTACTTTGGTATTGAACGATGAGTGACAAACTGGAATGTATAAACCAACAATGTATTGAAACAGATGTGTTTAATAAGTCTTTTTGAACGTGATAATATATGCAGTTAATCTATGTGTCACTATAAGTATCTAAAACGTAATAGAATAGCATGTTTCGATGAGTCTAATGTACTATTCGTTCTAATTGTGTGTGACTGAACAATTGGTAGGAATGTAAGAGATTCAGTTTTACTTCATATCTCAACATAAGACTTTTGTTAAGTTTAAGTCTCTACAAGAATTATAATACAAAACAAACGTAGTATTTAAATTTGTTGATGAGCAAGCGTCAACATAGAGATATCCTATGACAATTTCACCTGTATACTTACTGAAATAGTTATGTTGACTGATTGAACAGAACGGATCTTCTAATATCAAGTGCATATACTTTAAAAGGCAAAACTAACTAAATGTTGTAGGGGGTGGAAACTGAAATATTTAACTAAGGTAGTATGAGATGATAAGTGATCAACCACTGATGCGACTGACGGCCACGAAGTATGCAGTTATCTTACACATTATCTTGATTTATCCATTTAGAACACACGACTGTTACTCTTCTTGAGAGTATGGGCCGTCGATCAGATTTCGCCTTTCAATTCTGTCCTAGGCTTCCCATTCCAGGTGTTTCAAATTGCCATCTATTCTTTTATGTCTGCTTACAACTCCAAACGCTATGTTTTCTTTGGTCTTCCACTTTTTTTAAGATTCCAAGTTAGGTCTCGTCCCATGATGCAGTTTGATGAACTCTGCAATATGTGTCCTGCACACTACCGATCCTTGCGGAATCTGGCCTGTTGATCTCGTAGTCAGGCCTCTACCGAATACTTTATCCGGTTCAGCAACACTGTTGAAGACTTTTCGTGATACCGATAGTAGTGTGCTGCCCCTGTAGTTCACACATTTGTTCAGATCTACTTTCTTTGGTATTGTAGGGCCAGTGAAATGTCACTGAGCCCTAGCCAAATCATCTGGCAGTTGGGACACTGAATATCGAATAGATCATCTATCCTTGTAAAGGACAATCAACGCTCACCAGTTAATCATACTCCACGAACAAACCCATGTGGCAGTGGTATTACTTTCGCATGTATCTACTTTGACTAATATATTTCTTTAATAATTTCATTTATGTTGTACAGTCTTCAGAGCATCTATAGTCGCTTGATACGTCGATGGGGCAATCCACGTAAGGTACTGACTGCAAGGTGTTAAACCGACGTTAGTTCATTCGTCACACCATTTTCGTCTAACTCTAGTAGGCCCCCAATCATTTGGCATAGATAATTTACGTTGGTGATCTGCAGTATTTTGTTTAAGTGTCTTACTTTCCAGTCTGTTGGCACTTGTTCTCCATCCTTAATTTTACTGAATAGAGCATCTTTGTAGTCACCTTAGTCTGAATTCACTGCTTCAACTGGTATATTATCTGCCCCTAATGCATTTCCACTTCTGATTTTTCTGACGGCCATCCTAATTTTCTCGATAGGTGGTAAAGTCACATCTATAGGGGTGTCTCTGTGTTGCTTCGGTGTCCGGTGCTCTTCCCATCTGTTCCTCTGTGCTTGAATCTCAGTGATTAGCTTTCCTTATTTATGCTTGACTGTTCTCTTTAGTTTACAGTATCTCCCAGCTAGTGTCTTCGTTGTTTCATTCCGCAGTCTCATATTTACATCTTTTGCAACTTTTTTGTTGTCACTGATAGGTCTTGTACATATTTCTGTTTGTCGACTCTAAAGCTCTTCACTTGATTATTCGCTTCAGTGTATTCTGCTTGTGCGTTGACTTTCCTTGCTCTTGTTCAGTCGTTAGTTGCTTTCTTCTTGTTCTTCCCTTCCTGAATCTTGCTCAGATTTTCGATAGACATCTGTTCCTAATGATGATGCTGCCTGCGGCGCAGATTCTCCTAACATGTTAAAGTTTGTGCTTCTTTGATCCCTTTCCAATTGTCTTCCACGGTAGCGCCATCTTCCTTGAGCGGATCTTGTACGGCTTGAAACCTGTTGTTGAGAGATATGTTGGATTCGTTAGTATCACTAAGGAAGGTTGTACTGAACCTTTGTAATTCTGTTTTGTCCAGTTGTTCAACGCTTCTTTAGCTTCAATTTCATCTTGACAACAACTAGGTGGTGATCTGGAGCTATCTCAGCTCATCTCATAGTTCTCACGTCTTCTGTTGACCTTCTGATTACTTCACTGATACAAATATAATCGACCTGGTTCTGTGTAGTGTGATCCGGTGGTACCCATGTAACATGTGTGTGTTTTGGGGAATATTTTATTGTCTATAACCATTTTTGGATGAATAGAAATTTGCAAATATTTCATCGTTTTTGTTCATTTCTACCAATCCATGTCGTTCCGTGGTATCTTCATTCCCGACGTTGTCCATTCCGATATTAGCCTTTGATTTTTTCATCAGGGTGGTCAAACTTTTTTCTAAGTGCTTCGCTACGATCGACTGCAGCCTCTCATATTACTGATCTTCACCGTCTTCATTGCCATCATTGGTAGGTGCTTAATATTGGATAACATTCATTGTAATATCCTCCTTCGTTTAGAGGGATTCTCTGATGTTTCTATATCTATGAGATGTCCATCTTATAGGTGCTTTTCGTGCTTCCTACCTGTGTGTAAAGAGCATTTTCTTCTTCATGTCCAGGGTACTACAGCATCTCCCGAATTCAATCTTTTCTGTCCAGCTTGGGTCCAGTAGGTTTCACCTATTTCAAGAACTGCCAAGTTGTATCTGCTCATTTTCCTAGCTATTTGATTGATCCTTCCGATCTCCCACATTGTCCGAGCATTCCATGTACCTATGTTAATTGTTGTTTCGGTTGTTAGATGGAGTATCAAACTCTTGACTTCGAAGAATCTCATCTTTCATTATGAGGCATCATAATTCTCCTGAATGAAGATCGTCCAACTCGGAGTTCAGAGTTTAAAAGGTTTAAATTGTTTGTTCTGGTTAGGGTTTTTCAGCAAGGTCGTTCTCTACGGAATAGGGTTGCTGACACCACACTCAACCCTCCGCTTCTGCCCGGCCTGAAGATTGGAAGTAAGCCCAGAGGGGCTACATTTAGAGTTTTAGGCTAAAATATTTAATGTAGATAGAAATGCTATCGTGACCACGCCTGCATGGCTGAGTGATGGCCTTTTTGATTCTTGCCTCCCAGTTCGCCAGTTTGACGTATAAGTGTTTAATGTTGAGTGCGAATCTCAAGAATTATGTATTCATCTCCAAAAATCGTGTGGTTAGGAACCACTGTCACCACTAGCTACATGTTATAATCATAAGGGTGTGCATTCGCAGAAATGAATATGTATTCAAAATTATGACAGTGTAGGAAAAATAGTTCCAAGGATTTTCAGACATAGATCCTAAGCGTCAGTGCGTGAATGATAGGGAATATGCTGTATAACATGAGTCAAAACGTGTGCAAATGGATTATCGGCAAACAGTTAGAAGACGGCAGCCAACAAAGTCAGAACTAGGTGTATATGCGAACACATGTATTTAACGGACAGAAACCAGCCTTCCATGCGAATGGTGAACAGCGATAGTGGGAGTTAACTTAAAATAGGTGATTCAGCAGACACAATGTTTGTATACATTGAAAAGGACTAAAAAAAACTCACTAATACCGACAGAACTTGCTTACAAATTATGCTTATTTCAGCCCACCTGGGATATTTAGGAGTATTTGAATTATATTACAAAATAGTAATTCCAGAAACAGCGCAATTTAATCAAGAAGTATTAGATGAACACGAACGAATGTATTGATACGTGTAGTTAACATATATGTTTCGCTAGCGAAACAATCAAATGAAAAACATGCATCTGTCTCATACTCATTAGGATAATCCTGGACTTGATTAGGACTTTCTACCTGTGCAAACTTCATATTCGGGCTAACTGGTTCTCTGACTGCTTCGGGAAAACTTGCTATTCCCTCTGATTCACCATAACACTGACTGGGGATTCTACACAACACACATTGTTTTGGAGAATATCCAACATATGATACAATAACATCAGAAATGTGACTAGAATTCGACTCATTCGGAGCATATTTGTCACACTCATTGGGGATACCACTGGAGATAAATCCACTGTGAGGACAAAAGACATTTGATATGGCATCAGAATTCGATTTTTCTGAAATATTTCCTTCAAATTTATTAAGAGTTTCATTAGAGAATAATGAATCATTAGAAAAATCAGCATCTACCAAAACTGAATCCGGTTTTCGATCATGATTTGACTCATTCAACATGTCATTTTCAGAGTTGTAAGGAATTTCATCAGAAATATGTGAATTATTATGACAAACCATATCTGGCACAGTAACACGAGAAATCTGATAATGTGGTTGATTAGGAACCTTTGTCTTACAATAGTCTTGGGTTTCTACAACTCTGGACTGCTGTGTGACATTATTTCGCTTCCGCAATTTTTGCATAAAGGTAAGTGATTATTAGAAACGTTCAACTTAGTTGAATCACAAATTTTAGCATTGATTTCAGCGAAATGAACCATGGTATTGCAAACTGACCGAATGTATCCAGTTTTACCACATTTAAACCATTTAGAATTACGAAGTACCCATGAGTTAAATAGGTGAAACTTGCCACAGAACACGCATTTACCAAACTTATGCTCATCTTTGTGAACTGTTTCACAATTTAGTACATTTTTATCTGAATAACCTTCATTACGTATTGGACTGAGACGACGTAATAAAGTAGTGGAATTCCTGATGTCCTGGGATATCATCTCATTGAATTTTTTTACTTTACCGCATTCAAACTTTGTATACTTTACATGGTCCAGTAGTAGTTGCTTGAGAGTTGCATAAGGGAGCGAAATCTATTAAGTTGTATGCTTCTTTTCTGATGAATGTAAAGAAATGGGCCACAACATTAATATCCTCAACATCTTCATTGGTTATAGCCCTGATTTCGAACCTTTCTATGTAATCCCTAAAAGCATCAAAATCTGAATGTATGTCCAACCGTTCCATCACAGGCTCCATCGCGATGTGATAATTAGGAGTATTTGAATTATAGAATAAACTAGCAATCCCAGAAACGATGCACTTTAATCAAGAAGTATTAGATGGGCACGAACGAATGTATTGCAATTGGAATTCAAAACAAAGCAGTCATCAATACAAGGGAATCGTTGGTCCTTATAAAAACCACCCGCTCCAAACGCCTGAGAAAAATAACAGTCATAACAATATCTTCTGTATCTTTTAAAAGAAGACTATATTTGTTTAAGTTCAGTAGATAACGATCGCCAAACATCTGCTTATTATTCCCAGATCACTCATTCTGTCATTGACGAGCATTTCCACGTCTTAGTCTTCAGTCTTCATTCATATGAACAGTAGAACGGTTGATATGTTAATCTTTACAGTTTGTATGCCAGTTAATAACTAATTTTTACTTAAAAGTGCTCATTGGTGAAGTCAAAATCACTTCATTAGTTAGTATTTTCTGGTTGCTTGCCGCTATGAGGAAAACAGTGTACTATTCTGAGTTTGTTCGATTATGGTTTTCAAAGCTGTTTGTAAAAATGACGAAGATAGTTATTCTTGGAAAAAGCAAAAAATAGTACATGTTGGCGGTCAAGTCATTTTATATATGGAACCGTAACATGAGGTCACCCTTTATCTTAAAATAAGATATATAGGAAATAGATGTGATCGTTCCAGTGACACCTAGAGAAAGGTATTGACAAATCATACTACCAGCTTAATACCTACTGTTTAAAGAAAACCTGAAATTTGTATATCTCTGATTAGATGAGTAATATCCACTTGAACACAGCGTTCTAAATTAGTTCTCAGGTTGAATTTAACTCAAGTGTAACAAAAGACGATAGAATTCATTTGCAATGATAATCATTATAACTCTAGTCTTTTTAAGAAGAAAGTGAGATGTGAATGATATTTTTCGGTAAACAAGTTCATTATCCTGTCACTGAGACCCAGAAATTAAGGATTTTACTATTTGACTTATCAAAGTTTGAAGTTTGACCCTGCGGGCAGTTTCAAATATTGCTTTGGGAGCGAGTTTTGAGGTTGTTTAGAGAATGAACACAGGTAGGCTTGTAGAAGTCAAAAGCAAGGTAATTCAATTCAACACGAGAATAATTCCCATTAAAGTTTGGTGCCGAGTTCCGGCGATTCAGTTTCATGGCAGAGGATACACTACAATACAACGCTTTCTATTCCCTACTTGAACGTATTCATATGTTGTTCAACATCCCTTTTGTTATTCAGTATGTCGAGCCAAAAAATGCAGATTTACTACCGATAAGTAATAACAAGAATTTCGAGTTGGCTGTAAATTCTTCGAAGCCTTTACTTAGGATTTTACTTCAGCGAAAAGGTGTGTAGACTTTTATAACTTTATTCTTGCACAGGTGAGAGTTACGGAGAAATTTACGGATACAAAACTTCTAAACACGGTCTTATACATCGAGGAGCTGCTGACACTCTTCGGAACTTTGGTGGCAGTGAAAAACATCGTCGATCTGAAAAACCCACTATAAGTGTTATGAGTGACTTCCACTTGGTCTCATCGATATTGGATGTCGACATTATACCATGGACATTAAGACGGTAAGAATTTATTCGTTTGTAAGTAGCATCTTATAATATTTACTTGGGCCCATCTAGTTTCCTATAGTTGATGGTTTAAAGTTTTTAAAGCACAACCTTTCTGTACACGTCAAAACCTTGTAGATTTTTCGGAATTTCGGTCTTCATAAAAGTCACTGTTTATGTGTGACACAAGAGTTTACGGAAACCATCCGAACAGTGTTATTTAAATTAGTTTCAAGGGGCATTTCAAAAGTCGTAATCTTCGGTTTATTTAACAAAAAACGTGCTGTTTTTGATAAGTATAAGAATTCAAGAAAATTGTCTAAATAACTATTGACTCGTCCATGCTATTTGTACTGCTTGTAAGGTATCACGAAGTTACTTTCCATACATAGCAACATATGAACCGTCTTCCCGAGTTATTAAACATCACTTGTGTTGCAGATGTCATCTACATAGAAATTGGCACAAGAGCATGTTGCACTAAGTTACCATCTCAATCCTCACGGGAAAATAAAACCAACAGGAGGGGTTGCTGGAATTCAGGATCGAGAGGTAGATAGGAAGTGAATTCATATGAGTCCTTGTGACTGGTTCTCAGCTATTTCATCCTGAGTCAGTTGCCACTGATCGTGTTTATTGAATGGATCACCTTCAGGTAGTCTGGGTTTATTTACAGGACTCAGACCAACAGTTAATGACCTTCTAAACTGGTATCACGTTTCTAGTTCGGCCTTTTAAACGCTAAGGTGGTACGGAATAATTGTCAAAACAATGATGTAGCTTCATAGCCCCTTACAGTTTATACGTGAGGGACGTATGTTGTCTGTTAGTAATACGGTGAGAAGACGGTTGTCACAATTGTGGGATCTATTTGTACAGTACATTTAAACAACATATATGTAAAAAGTAAAAGCCCAACTGTACAAATTAGAAGGTAAAGAGAAACAAAGGTATCAATTTTAGATGTACGTGGGAAAATGTGCATAGTGATAAAAATTGATAAAAATTCTCTAAATTTACAAGATAACAAGAAGTGAGTACGTTCATGCAACTTATAATGGGATGTGGACCCTGTCAACCGATATAATTTTGAAAGGCAATTAATTTTCAGATTTTAATAATAAAGCATGCGATTGATCTATTTTATCCCTGAGACTAAGATCTATTGAGTTCATAGATTAGGTATATCTGTAATCTTGAGGAGACTGATGTTAATGGGTGCCAGCTAACAGGGAAACTACGTCAAAGAAGGATTCCTGACATGTTAATTACACTAGTAGCCCCATTAAAACTTGGTGGGTACGATTCGATCAGCAATAAATGACTAGACATCATAGTGGTCACTACACAATGATCAATCAGTTGTAAATATTTCATTCCTACAGGTCAATCAAATTCTGAGTAGCTCAGCAAAAAAGGTCTCAGACTCTGAAGTCGAGTAAATCTAGGGAATTTTTATCATTATATCTTTCATACTGTGTTGTTGTGAATGAGAACACAGGTGAGGACAACCAACTATATATTTAGCACAAATTACAACGTTTCTTGGTAAAATAGAAAAACCATGCTATGATACACTATTTGCAAAATGTTCTTCAATTGCCTCAGGCTTCATTGTTCCTGGATTTCCATACAAATTGCTTTTTATTTCTGTTCTTCTCTTCTTGATATTCTCAATATTCTGCTGTCAGATATTCTATTCCTTATTCACCATATATACTACTTATGTCGATATCAGTAGCTCACACCACACTAGCATTTTGCTCATATATTTCTATACTTTTATCAATGTTTAAAACAAATGTATTTTGAAACCCTAACTGAAGCGCAAACAGGGCTGACGAGCAAAATATTGGAGTTATTTAATTTCAAATATAATTTCATTCTTGATATTTTTTATACACTTATAGTTCAGTTATTTCGAAATTTTTTGTCTAAAACCTCATATCAACTTATTTTAATAGTGTTCGTATAACTTTTCTCAGTGGTTTTCATGTTTTTTTGAACTGCTCTTGTTGCACTAATCTGAAGTGTAGCAACTACAATCTTTTTACACAACATGTGATCTAACATATTTTTTGAATATTAATTAATGTATCTTCGAATTTGAGCAATATGTTGTTAATATTATGAGGATTAATGATGCCGACCAGCTTCCAAAACTGAAAAATAGATGAAGCGGTGTTCGAACCTCGGGAACTTACTGGTTAGGAAGTTCGACTTCCAGCAACTAAGTTACACGTCCAAACCCTACCCCAGCTACTTCATTTTAGCAACTAGATAGTATCACGCACTCCCGACCGTTGCTTCTACCTTGACGTGGTGGTCGGGCTTGCCTATCGTGATGAAACAATCGAGCTATACTGGCTAGAACAATCGTTCCTCAAGGTCTTACCTTGCCAGCCAGGTCGGTTGAAGAGCGGTGAGACTAAAAGCAGCAAACCCAAGGTCCGTAGGCGAAGTCGTACTACTGACTGTACAGAGGTGTGACGGAAGTAAGGTGTTTCCTTCAGACAACCAGCATGACAGCGATGCAGCCTTCCCACAATGAGGGGTGGGATTAGAAAAGGTCGACCCTAAAAATGCACACCTCGCCTTATCCCACGGATATCGGTCTCAGGCGGTAAGGTTCTTTTGAAGAACGGAGCTAACACAAAAACTACTCACAAAAAGGCCATGAATGACCGACCTCAATCAGTTGTCCCTTGGGCACTGCAGTCACGCTCTCAGGTCAATAAGACCACTTCTAATCCAATTTCCTTTTCAAGTATCTCTAGAAGAACCCTTCCACTGTGTGGGCAACCGGGAAGTGGTAACCTCCCTCATACCTCTAACAGGACTGAATACTGATCATTCACTAGCTCAAACACAGTGTGGTTTGTGGTCAAGTACACGAATCTGTACCTAATAAATGAGTTGTAAAGAAGTCGAAACCTCTAATCTACTGTTTAAATGCCAAGTGCCTTGATTACTAAGTCATCGCTTCACTGTATACAGATTTATCTAGATCTTTATATATATATATATATATATATATATATATATATATATATATATATGTACATCTAATTATTTCTTGTAATTCCTTATTTAGTGTAAGCCTGATCCGTTCACCTGGTAAACAATTTGGTTTAAACATTCGTACTGGTGCAATTCAATATTATACTAAAAATGGTTATGAAACTATTCCAGCCTTTTTTATATCACGTCTAGCTGAAGATGGTATTGCTTATAATACTGGTTTATTAGCTGTTAATGATGAAATTATTGAAGTTAATGGTATTGAAGTTTATGGTAAATCATTAGATCAAGTTAATGATATGATGGTTGCTAATAGTTCAAATTTAATTATTACAATTCGACCAGCTGATCAAAGTATGTGTTTAATTCCAAGAGAAATATCACGTTCACGTTTTTCACAAAGTTCTGATTTATTATATGGTCCAAGAAAAAATATTTCCATAACTGAACTTAGTTCACCATTATTATTATCATCATCATCATCAACGGCGATGACAACGACGACAATCACAAATTATACTCAATCTCAATCACAATATATTCCATCTCAATTATTGTCATCATCATCATCTCATCCATTAACTAAAACAAATAAATTTAATGGTGATTCAACAACCATTCAAATTAATGAAGAAATTGAAAGTGATGATGATATGAATGTTGGATTAATTACAATATAAATATATAATTAGGCTTATTTAATTTAATTATTCTGTTATTACACATATACATATATTCCTATTCTATTCATTTCATATCAATTTTTATACAAGGTAATGAAAAAAATTTTTTTCGTTTTTCTTTTTTTTTTCTATGTAAAGTAAATAGATTTTGTGTAGTATCTATGGGATTGGTTACAGTTAAGCCGGGTTTTTTTGTGTTTTTCTTTTTATAGAGAAAAGTAAATATATATAAAGTATTACGTAAGGGGGAAACATATCAGCCATATATATATATAATTTGTAACCATCTATTCAAATATTGAATATACCTCTTTTGCTCTTTCATTCCATTGTATGATTACGTAACCGTTTATTGGTTTGTTTAATGTTTTGTTTTTCTTTGTGTTTTTCCGTTGTTATCTCTGTTCCCCTTACATGAATAAACACCTCCCACACACGCACACACACATACACACCCCTTCAAACATACAATTCAAGCTCATACATGTAAACTGTTTTATATCAATGTTATTCATTTGTTTATTTATTTTTTCTTTTGGATATTTCTTTTATGGATAGTACAAAGTATATTGTGTGTGTGTGCCCTGGTTACTATTCTGATTATGAACATAAGTTTTCTTTTTTTTTTGCTTTTTTTTCACTGTTTGTTTTTCAATGACTCTTATTATACCTACACATATCAGTAAAAGAAAATTGCTCAATCTATTCATAATTGCACATTCTATTTGCTTTATGTAATTTAAATATTTACTTTTTTCAGAAATTTAAAAAAAGAAGGAAATTTGGTAATGTCCATATTGTATTTTGTTTTTGTTTCAAGTTGTATTGCTTAAAGTGTTGTTTTTTTTAGTGTAAGGTAGCTTTGGTAAAGATTGTTTACTCATATATATTGGTTAAACAAGAATGTCCACTTTCCCTAAATGCCCTGGTACGGCCGAGAGTCGGAAGAGTCCGTACTCTCTATCGAAATGCTCTCACATGGCCGCGCGTATATAGCCTCTGACAGGGAAGTCCTACTCACTGCCTTCTCGCGTCGGGGGTGTTGTTTACGAAATTGAGAGGACGAAAAGTGAATGCTCGGCGCTTTAACCTGTTTGGTGGACACAGAAAGTCCATCTAGGGGAGTTGGGAAACCCTGATTCCAAACCAATGGTGCACATAGGTTGGCTCCAGTATCCTGAGTGAACCAATGGCGTATGAACCAATCGTTGATCACTAGCTACCATGGGACTGCATCTCCTCACAATGCTCCGCTGCCTTATGGATCAGACCTTTAGGTCAAAGGCTCCAGGTGTGGCCCCCTAGGAAAACCACCTGCTTCAGTTTGGGCACCTGGACAGTAACCCAGCCCTCACACAAATCGAATGAGATTTGTGAGGCGCATATGTATCCGGTGCTTCCTTGTACCAATATTTATGTGTTTAAATAATATAAAATAATAAATTCTTGTTTAACTTTGTTGTTGACATGCTTTTAGAGATAACAGTTTCATTATCTGAATCTCCAAGAGTTGAACTTTTATCGGGAGACTCATTTGTTGTTGACTTAGAATACTCCGATGACATAGTTGTATTTTTGGTGAAGACGCTGACAAAATGCAGAGTCTTCTGACTGCTATATGCAACTATGCAAGCATGTTCGGGATGCGATTCTCCATCTCGAAATGCAAAGTGTTACTTCAGGATTCGGTTGCATCGACACCTGAACTAATGATAGGGAGTGAAGTAGTTGAGCGTGTTGAGCGCTTCACTTATCTTGGGAGTCTTATCAGCCCTTGTGGTCTGTTGTGTGACGAAATCTCAACACGGATAGAGAAGGCTGATCTAGCTTTCTCCAACTTGCGTCATTTATGGCGTAGGCGAGATATTCGTCTAGCAACCAAAGGACGGGTTTACTGTGCAGCAGTTCATTCCGTTCTACTTTATGGCAGTGAAACATGGCCGACAAGAATAGAGGATATTCGTAGGCTGCTAGTATTCGATCATAGGTGTCTTCGAAGCAGTGCTTGTATATCCTGGGACCACCGGGTAAGTAATGCGATTGTTAGGAAACGGGTACTAGGTAATGATGGCAAATCGATTGATGAAATAGTGAAAATTCATCAGTTGAGATGGCTGGGACACGTGTTACGTATGCCCAATCAACCACCGACGCGCGATGTTTTATGGTGTAGGAGTAGGTTGGAAGAAACATAGGGGCGACCAAACCAAAACGTGGCGCAAATCCATGAAGTCACTGACATGTGGACTGAGCCATGTTGGTAGGTGTAGACTACTTGGTTGGGATCTGCGAGATGATAGCAATCGATGGTTAGAGATCTTGAATGACATGGCTCAAAATCTTTTATAATGGTGAAGGTGTATCTACTCTTTGTGTTATCTCAAATTCTAATCTTCTGAATTCTCCATGTTCATTTCTCTTTTCAAATTTATTTGAATAACATCTTCAAACCCTAATCTTTCACATTAATGCTTAAACTCTTACTACTTCTACCAATATGGGATTTGAATCGACAACTTCATCTCTGTGCTAGTGTGGTATGGCAACTCAAACTGATGTACGTACGTACGAAGTTCTACGTTGTGACTGACTGACTCATTTATTGATAGTTTAATTAGCAGACTAATGTGAGATTAGAAATTGTTGAGAATGAAGATAAATTGGATAAGTGTTTCACCCTAGTATTCGACTCCTTATCAGTGTGTGTACTCATATGAATTCACCAAGGATCGTGATATGCATACCCTCAAGCTTTATGGTGAATATATTTCCAATTTTAGGGATTTGGGATATTATCCGGTTGTTATATATCTGAAACTAGTCTTTAACGTAAATATTCTTCTGAGTAAACTTCTCGTCTTAGTAATGATGATAATAATCAGTTGTTAACTAGTGATTGACTTTGAGAATTCTCTATGTTCTAGTGAAAAAACCAGCAGAATTTATTTATGTCAGAAGCTTAACAAGTGGACCCGATTTTAGTGAGTGTTGACTAGGAAATACCAACTCAGTGGATCGTAGGTGACACACCCACTCTGGAGTGTGCAGGCTTTTAATTCAATTATTGTTGTGACTGCGATCGCGCACTGGTGAGAATTTTTATACTAGGATGAAACTGGGCTGCCCGCTTCATGGTAAAAGCATCTAACATTCAACATGCTGGTTTTTGAACGGTTCCGCAGATGAATTCAGTCCATCATGTAAATTATTTTGATAAATAGTAATCTATGATTGCTAACTATCTCCACTAGGCAACTGTGATCTATAGGTAGAATAGATTTTTCTGTTCAGGCAATTGACTTAATCAAATATATACTATTCTTATCGACCATATTTGGTCAGTAATTGTTTAAGTGTTAACATCTTTGCACCCTCCAAGTGCAAGGTACTCCTACAAGACTGGCAGGATTCTCATCCTGTACTCACCCTAGATGGTGATCAGATTAAAGTAGTTGAGAAGTTCGTGTATCTAGGTAGCTACATAAGTGCTGGTGGGGGCGTGAGTGATGAGATTGGTGCACGTATAATGAAAGCCAGATCGGCTTATGCCAATCTGGGCCATCTTTGGCGCCTTCGTGATGTTAGTCTGGCTGTAAAAGGTCGGATCTACAACGCGTCGGTGAGAGCAGTTTTGCTCTATGCCTGTGAAACCTGGCCTCTCCGAGTTGAGGATGTTAGACGTCTCTCTGTGTTCGATCATCGTTGTCTCCGAAGGATTGCTGACATACAGTGGCAACACCATGTTAGTAATGCAGAGGTTCGGCATCGTGTGTTCGGGCACAGAGACGATAATTCAATTGGTGTCACCATCTTGAAACACCGACTTCGGTGGCTTGGACATGTTTTACGAATGTCGTCCCAGAGACTTCCACGTCGTGCATTATTTGCCGACCCTGGGACTGGTTGGAAAAAGCGGAGAGGAGGTCAGTGTATGACATGGTGTCGTGGCATGAAAGAAAGCTGCAAAGGGCTAGCTTCTGTTGGTCCTTCACGACTCCTTGGTTGGGGTCCGAGAGATGGTGCAACACAGTGGCTAGAGACGTTATCAGATATGGCTCAGAATAGAAGCCAGTGGCGATCCTGCTGCAACCTTCTTTTACTTTCTACATAAAGAATGGTTCTAACTTTCCTAACTGAGAGAGCTCTTCTAGTTGTACATTCAGTTCCCCTCATCACTACTCTTCTTTTCTTTTTTTTCCTTCTTTCATATATACGCATCTTCTTCCTCCTCCCATTCTCATTATTTTGTGTGGCGCATATGTATCCAGTGCCCTTTGTACCAATATATATGTGATTAAATAAAATAAAAAAATAAATAAGTGTTAACATGACTACATAAATTTTTATTTTATCTTGCCAATATACTCCATTTTTCAGTTTAGATTATGTATGTATTTATAAAGCAGATATTATAGTGTTCAACAGTTCGCTGTATGCTAATGTATAGCTAGAAAACATAAGTATAAATGAGAGACGCAGTAATCGTTAGTTTCTGTGTTGTATAGAAAACCTCGTATATTCACTTAGTTATTCGTAGTACCTGACAATACATGTTGGTCTAAATTACGATATCCCGACCGTTGCTTCTACCTTGACGTGGTGGTCGGGCTTGCCTATCGTGATGAAACAATCGAGCTATACTGGCTGGAACAATCGTTCCTCAAGGTCTTACCTTGCCAGCCAGGTCGGTTGAAGAGCGGTGAGACTAAAAGCAGCAAACCCAAGGTCCGAAGGCGAAGTCGTACTACTGACTGTACAGAGGTGTGACGGAAGTAAGGTGTTTCCTTCAGACAACCAGCATGACAGCGATGCTGCCTTCCCACAGTGAGGGGTAGGATTAGAAAAGGTCGACCCTAAAAATGCACACCTCGCCTTATCCCACGGATATCGGTCTCAGGCGGTAAGGTTCTTTTGAAGAACGGAGCTAACACAAAAACTACTCACAAAAAGGCCATGAATGACCGACCTCAATCAGTTGTCCCTTGGGCACTGCAGTCACGCTCTCAGGTCAATAAGACCACTTCTAATCCAATTTCCTTTTCAAGTATCTCTAGAAGAACCCTTCCACTGTGTGGGCAACCGGGAAGTGCTAACTGCCCTCATACCTCTAACAGCACTCGAGACCACTGTATTCATAATCAATCACTAAATTACGATATATTACGTCCGAAAGACAAAACAAAACCAATAAATATAGTGATGAGTTGAAATAATAAAAGGACCAATGACTGTATGAATAACTAAACATTAATGAATATAGTGTGTAAGTATCTGTTTTTTTTCCTATTGATATATTAAACACTGTAATTGGTTAATCCCTTTGGGCATATATCCATGCATAAGGGATTGCTATAAATTTACAAGTGTTTAGTAAATCTGCATAATGACTACTTGAATTCAGTAGTTCAGTGGATAAAACGTTGAATGTTTGGAGCGAAAGGTACTGGGTTCGATTCTCAGTGTAAAATCAACACATACAGGTATTTTCGGCTGATCAGTCCCATATAGGACTAAACTTATGTCCTGAATTACATTGGTATACAGTAAATTACTATTTAAAACCCTTTCACTTTCAACTAATAGGTCGTTGATCCGAATATCACTTCATCCTTATTATAACTTTATATAATTTTTCTTTATTATGACCCAACTATTCCTATTGCTTAGTATTGTTGGATAGTTTAATCGACAAGTCCTCAAATCAGAACATGGTTAAACATAAACAAAATTATATTTCAAATAATAAAGGTAGATAGAAGTAAAGAAGCACAATAAAAGAGAAACGTTAGTATATTTATGGTTTTTTTACATGGGAAGATTCTAGAGTGTTCTCCAAGTATAGACTAGCCACTGATTAGATAAGAAATAGGCAATCAACGTGTACTAACACAATCCTACACAGAACATGCTTTAATCCAATCTATATATTTCGTTAACAAAGGGTTATTGACTTTTTTTCTTTCTTAGATTAAAAGTTGTTTTCATAGTTGAAATCATGAGTCAATTGAAGCTA